TGCTGCGCTTTTGCTGTATCTCCCTGAAGGTAAGTTAATACTAGATATATGTGAGAAAGACGTACTTACATTTTCACTTACTCCTCCCCATAGTTCTGATTAACGACAACGTGTTAGAATTCAGGTTTAAAGGGGCATAGGTCAGAAACATTAAAATTAATTTCAATTTTAGCCCCAATTATCAAAAACAGTGAGGAGTCGTTAATTGATAAACCACAATCACCAAAATGGCAAAAAGTGGAGATCGACACAGTTGAAACTCGTCGAAGAGTCCTAAGACGCCTTCAGAAATTAGTTTCGCAACTATGATTGACATAGGTAGGTAAACATAATAACTCTGTTCCAACACGTCAAAAAATCGTCCCATGAACGGTTTCGAAACCACTCAGTATAACAATTTTAGTTTCTGCGCAGAATCGTGACGGTACATTGTACGGTTTTCTGCTGTGTTGGAACAAAGCTAATATTATTCATTTCTTTTTTTTAAATGTTTATTCCTTTATCAGGAGACACAATAATTAAAATATTCCTGGTTACATACAGGTACACCATATTCTACAATGTGTGTATCCAAACTTTTTTGGTAGAATCATTGTTAACGAAATTTCTGTTTTAGATCAACCAGGCCCTTCATGTCGTCAATTTTTATCTACTGAAACTTCTGCAATTCGGGCAGACATTGCTACACCAAGTGGAACCATCACATCTACAAACATGAAAAAGTCAGCAACCAACTTTGTCTCTTAAAACTTTTATTGGTAGGTACCTAAGTGTTATTGCTTAATGAATAACCACCCAGTTGGGAGTAGGTGAATTTTAAAACATCCTAACTAGGACTACTACTATAAAAGACTACTAATTACTAAAACTTGCAGTGGAATGCTAGAAAAATTAGAAGCTAAATGTGCGAAAAGCTCGTCTCCAATCTTGATCTATTTTTTTTTTGCAGGTCATGAGAGACGATGCCAAATTTTAAAGAACATTAACGTCACTAGGCAAAAAATTCCTATCCCCAAGGGAAAAATATCTTTATTCCAAAGTTATAGAATCCAGCAATAAGTTAAGAAGAATCAGTAGAAGGTTGTCGTCATTTAAATCCAAAGTTTCTGCTGCTGAATTACTTGCATCATAAACCAAATTTCAAAGGCTCGTAGACCACGTCAATCCATTGATATACAGCTTTATTTTAAGCCAAGTCCGTACTCAAAACCAAAAGCCTAAAGCTAGACGATTTACATTGAACGAGAAGTTGTTGGCGTTGTCTTTGCTTAAAGCTAGTGGTAAAGGGTATAGACTATTATCAAAAATATTTATTCTATCATCCAGGCGAAATCATTTTCTTGAATGAGCTTTATATTATGTATAACTACATAAACTTTCTACCTAACACACGCGGAAAGTGTATTTTCTGGACTTAAAGGCTTGTCCGAACTCTGCTTTTTGTTGTCATTCTTGCAACTTCCATCACGTGCAGAAACACTTTCCTCACTTGTTAGGTTAACAACGATTTTGGATTGTGAGAAAAGGACCTCTTTTGTCATTTTATTTACGATTTAAGTTTTTCATCAAGCTATTGTTAAATGTACGTCATTACTTCTTGTAACTGTCCTTATTATCTTTAACTTAACTAGCATTACCTACCTATGTATGTATTTACATGAAAAAAAAAACTGTTTCGCATAAATTGTAATTAATTCCATATTCTTTAATATTTTCTGTTTCAAACTTTAATAAATATCTAAATTTGTTATCTTAATTCTTAGTCAATTTTACCTTGAAGGCGCTTCAACACTACCGATTTTATGAGTTTCTTCTTTTTGGCACAATTATTTTATGCCAAAAAATGGTAGAAACTTTAAAGTGGTGGTGTTGAATCGCTAGAATCAAACAATGGTGCAAACGATCCACCGGAACGAATAAGATACCGAACGAACCCTAATTGCGTTTTGCATTCGCCAATAAATCCAGAATTACAAAAGCTTACCCCCCCAGTCACTAGAGGCGCTGAAAACTTATAGACAGGTTCTCAACACGGCACTTACCTTTCTAAGGGGGGATGTTTTGTGCCAAACACAGGATCCAAAATTGACATTTTGAACTGTCATTGTTCAGAAATGGAAGTTTACTATTCTAGGAGAGCCTGGAATAGGATTTTCATTCTTTTCAGTTGAATTTCAGCTCATTCAGAATGCAAACTGTAACTCTATAACGGTCAGAAATCGAAGTTTGATATTTCTTTAGCTCAATTTCAACTTAAGAACCAAAAATCAGATTTTGTTAGTCTACTCGAAATTTAAGTCCATGAGATCCAAACACAGGATCCAAAATTGACATTTTGAACTGTCATTGTTCAGAAATGGAAGTTTACTATTCTAGGAGAGCCTGGAATAGGATTTTCATTCTTTTCAGTTGAATTTCAGCTCATTCAGAATGCAAACTGTAACTCTATAACGGTCAGAAATCGAAGTTTGATACTTCTCTTGCTCAATTTCAACTTAAGAACCAAAAATCAGATTTTGTTAGTCTACTCGAAATTCAAGTCCATGAGATCCAAACACAGGATCCAAAATTGACATTTTGAACTGTCATTGTTCAGAAATGGAAGTTTACTATTCTAGGAGAGCCTGGAATAGGATTTTCATTCTTTTCAGTTGAATTTCAGCTCATTCAGGATGCAAACTGAAATTTAAGTCCATGAGATCCAAACACAGGATCCAAAATTGACATTTTGAACTGTCATAGTTCAGAAATTGGAGTTTACTATTCTACGAGAGCCTGGAATAGCATTTTCATTCTTTTCAGTTGAATTTCAGCTCATTCAGGATGCAAACTGAAATTTAAGTCCATGAGATCCAAACACAGGATCCAAAATTGACATTTTGAACTGTCATAGTTCAGAAATTGAAGTTTACTATTCTAGGAGAGCCTGGAATAGGATTTTTATTCTTTTCAGTTAAATTTCAGCTCATTCAGGATGCAAACTGAAATTTAAGTCCATGAGATCCAAACACAGGATCCAAAATTGACATTTTGAACTGTCATAGTTCAGAAATTGGAGTTTACTATTCTACGAGAGCCTGGAATAGCATTTTCATTCTTTTCAGTTGAATTTCAGCTCATTCAGGATGCAAACTGAAATTTAAGTCCATGAGATCCAAACACAGGATCCAAAATTGACATTTTGAACTGTCATAGTTCAGAAATTGGAGTTTACTATTCTACGAGAGCCTGGAATAGCATTTTCATTCTTTTCAGTTGAATTTCAGCTCATTCAGGATGCAAACTGAAATTTAAGTCCATGAGATCCAAACACAGGATCCAAAATTGACATTTTGAACTGTCATAGTTCAGAAATTGAAGTTTACTATTCTAGGAGAGCCTGGAATATGATTTTTATTCTTTTCAGTTAAATTTCAGCTCATTCAGGATGCAAACTGAAATTTAAGTCCATGAGATCCAAACACAGGATCCAAAATTGACATTTTGAACTGTCATAGTTCAGAAATTGAAGTTTACTATTCTAGGAGAGCCTGGAATATGATTTTTATTCTTTTCAGTTAAATTTCAGCTCATTCAGGATGCAAACTGAAATTTAAGTCCATGAGATCCAAACACAGGATCCAAAATTGACATTTTGAACTGTCATAGTTCAGAAATTGAAGTTTACTATTCTACGAGAGCCTGGAATGGGATTTTTATTTTTTTCAGTTGAATTTCAGCTCATTCAGGATGCAAACTGTAAATCTAATAAAGTAGATCTGTGGTATCAACTTTTCTGAAGTTGCATTACATTACCACAACAACAAAATAGTTACCTAATTGAATAATTTACCCCTGGTGTAAGTATGAATACAACCCAAAAACAAAAGAGTCAAACAAAATATATTTTGAATTTTTTGTTGCTTCAGAATATTGAACTTATAATAATATATCTACTTCACGAAATCTACCCCAGTTTTCAAAGCAAATTTAACCATGGAAGACTGGACAATGTAAGCCAAAAATAACTGGTTTAATAACAAATTCATTAGATTGTTAAAGGTTTTTGGACTACAAAATTGGTTGCTGGGTTGTTGGGTATTTATAACACAAAAGTACATGTTTAATTGGTAGCTATATTATTTTGTTTATGGCAATGGAAATCTTGTTATTGCTTCTTTGATAAGAAACTCAACTTAAATGGATAAAAAATTTCTCTAAAAAATAATCACCAGCTTTTGAAAAATATGAACTATTAATGAAAATCCATATTTTTCAACTTTTTAAGGTGTGATAGATAAATTTCCCTGGCACAAATGGATGATTTCGAATTCTAGTAAATAATGAAGATTCAACATGACGAAAACAATCACTGGCTCTCATTAACATAGACAAATGAACATAATTATTAATTCTGGTTACAGTAAAATTGACATTGCATTTTGAAACCAAAAGCTGAGTGACTTTAAAGATGAGAAAACTGAAATAAAAAGGTCATCATTCAAAATAAATTAGGTTTTGGTTTTGTAGATTCCTGAGCAAGATACTCGTTATATTTCTCGATAAACCTAAGAAGGTGTAGATACTATTTTGATCATGATTAACTTGCTATTATAAGATGAAATTATTGATTTCCAGGTAGTTGCTCAAAAAGTTTTATCCATCCAAAACATCCTGAAGGTACAATTGAATAATGTATAGAATGTCAGAGATATAAACCAACAAATTTTAAGATTTTTGTCCTGGCTCAACACCTATTTGGACCATTGACACAGCACAAATCATTGTTGAAAAATATTATGAGGACATTGCCATTTAACGAATATATTTGTTTTCAATGGTAGGCAATTTGTCACTAATATAATTTAACAAGTTTTCCATTGGTTTTAACCAAAGATCTCAAGATCCTAAAACTTCTGGAAAAAATCATACAAATAACAAAATAAATAATCTTAGAAACTAGTAATGGGTTGAAATATCTGATGAATAAAAACAAAAATAAAATTTCAAACAATAGGTATTTATTTTACATTTTCAAGGTCGATTTATAATCCGTGATAAATGCTGTTCCATAACTTTTGAACTGGTTCTAAAATCGAGCTAATAATTGGTACGTGGCCCAACAATGCGAAAACAGTCTGTAGTAGTCTATCCAGTAAAGTTTTGACAAATTGAAGTAGGTATGTCAGGAGGTTAGATGGTGGATTCGAGACGTGGCTTTCATCTTCAAAAAGTAGAATAAATAAATAAACTTGACTGTTTCCCAATTATTTAAAAAAAACAATAAATATAACTACATTTTCAATTATAATATGTGGTGTGTTTAGGTGGAAAAGTGTGATATTCTCGGCCGATGATGTAAGTTGCCAAGTGGCCGAGAATGTATCACTTTTCCACCTAGACACACAATATTCTTTCTTACCTGCAACAACAAATACGGCCAGAGAGAAGCCCAAAAGCAAAATGGTAGCAACTTTAAGATAAGTCATTATGCTGCTGGTCAAAATTAAATTGTTGAAAACCAATGGTTGGTTTAGTATTTATAAAGTCGGAGTACGTGCCTAATCGGATATTTTATTTAGGTTTTTTTTAATGGCCGGCCTAATTTAAATGGGTATTGATTTCATTTTAGAAACGTGTCAACCACATTTTTGGCTAATTTGATAAAAAGTTAAAGGGATATTTATTATTAATGGTCGCAAAACGTCAAGAAGCAACTCCATTTCTATTCAATGAAAATCCAATTGAAATCCTAGGATGTCAGAATTTTTCTACATTTCGTCATTATTTAATTCTCAGTTTTACCATCTAAATTTTTTCACTTGTGAATCAATTTTTCCTCAATTTTCTCTTTCCAATACTCATTTTTTTATTAGGTTTTTTTCTCTCATTTTTCCTATCTAATTTTTTATCTATTCCCGGCTCTTGAATTCCCATTTACTCCAATAATGCCTTTGAAAAAAGGATTCAAGGGCCTGGAATAAAAAAAATATTGATCTTTTTACTTGCCAATCGATTTTTTCCTAATTTTTTCTCCAATTTTGTCTTTTCATTTCTTAATTTTTATTAAATTTTCTCTTTCATTTTGGTCTTTTTTTTTCCAAATTTTCCGCTTATTTTCTGGAAAATACTGGAAGAATCTCCAATTCATTGAGACAGTGACATGTATATAAAAGCAGATTTCCTAGAAAGTTTCAACTTTGGAAACTGATAACGCAGAAACTGGACAACTATCGACAACTATTTTGTGTCTTAATGGTCCTGTGGGACCCCATAAACTCCATACAATAAATTATTCTCAGATTTGAAGCCGAAATCTATGAAAAAAGGCACTCAGAAAAATTGAAAATTTGATAAATCACCCCAAATTGCTTAAGACAATTTTATCTCAGGAACTATAAGTGCAAATGAGCTGAAATTTTCAGGGATTGTAGTCCCATGATTGGGATGAAATTCAGTGAAAGTTTCAACTTTCTATCCATAGTAGAAAAAAAGTTACGACTTTTCAAATTTTCCAAAATCTAAATCATAAGGTAGGTACCTTCTTACTAAAACGATAAAATTTAAAAAAAATTCTTGTCGAGATTTTGTATCCTAATGGTCAATCAACATCCCCCAAACTCCATACACTAAATTATTCTCAGATTTGAAGCCGAAATCTATGAAAAAAGGCACTCAGAAAAATTGAAAATTTGATAAATCACCCCAAATTGCTTAACACAATTTTATCTCAGGAACTATAAGTGCAAATGAGCTGAAATTTTCAGGGATTGTAGTCCCATGATTGGGATGAAATTCAGTGAAAGTTTCAACTTTCTATCTATAATAGAAAAAAAGTTACGACTTTTCAAATTTTCCAAAATCTAAATCATAAGGTAGGTACCTTCTTACTAAAACGATAAAATTTAAAAAAAATCTTGTCGAGATTTTGTATCCTAATGATTAATCAACATCCCCCAAACTCCGTACACTAAATTATTCTCAGATTTGAAGCCGAAATCTATGAAAAAAGGCACTCAGAAAAATTGAAAATTTGATAAATCACCCCAAATTGCTTAACACAATTTTATCTCAGGAACTATAAGTGCAAATGAGCTGAAATTTTCAGGGATTGTAGTCCCATGATTGGGATGAAATTCAGTGAAAGTTTCAACTTTCTATCTATAATAGAAAAAAAGTTACGACTTTTCAAATTTTCCAAAATCTAAATCATAAGGTAGGTACCTTCTTACTAAAACGATAAAATTTAAAAAAAATTCTTGTCGAGATTTTGTATCCTAATGGTTAATCAACATCCCCCAAACTCCGTACACTAAATTATTCTCAGATTTGAAGCCGAAATCTATGAAAAAAGGCACTCAGAAAAATTGAAAATTTGATAAATCACCCCAAATTGCTTAACACAATTTTATCTCAGGAACTATAAGTGCAAATGAGCTGAAATTTTCAGGGATTGTAGTCCCATGATTGGGATGAAATTCAGTGAAAGTTTCAACTTTCTATCTATAATAGAAAAAAAGTTACGACTTTTCAAATTTTCCAAAATCTAAATCATAAGGTAGGTACCTTCTTACTAAAACGATAAAATTTAAAAAAAATCTTGTCGAGATTTTGTATCCTAATGGTTAATCAACATCCCCCAAACTCCGTACACTAAATTATTCTCAGATTTGAAGCCGAAATCTATGACAAAAGGCACTCAGAAAAATTGAAAATTTGATAAATCACCCCAAATTGCTTAACACAATTTTATCTCAGGAACTATAAGTGCAAATGAGCTGAAATTTTCAGGGATTGTAGTCCCATGATTGGGATGAAATTCAGTGAAAGTTTCAACTTTCTATCTATAATAGAAAAAAAGTTACGACTTTTCAAATTTTCCAAAATCTAAATCATAAGGTAGGTACCTTCTTACTAAAACGATAAAATTTTAAAAAAATCTTGTCGAGATTTTGTATCCTAATGGTTAATCAACATCCCCCAAACTCCGTACACTAAATTATTCTCAGATTTGAAGCCGAAATCTATGACAAAAGGCACTCAGAAAAATTGAAAATTTGATAATTCACCCCAAATTGCTTAACACAATTTTATCTCAGGAACTATAAGTGCAAATGAGCTGAAATTTTCAGGGATTGTAGTCCCATGATTGGGATGAAATTCAGTGAAAGTTTCAACTTTCTATCTATAATAGAAAAAAAGTTACGACTTTTCAAATTTTCCAAAATCTAAATCATAAGGTAGGTACCTTCTTACTAAAACGATAAAATTTTAAAAAAATCTTGTCGAGATTTTGTATCCTAATGGTTAATCAACATCCCCCAAACTCCGTACACTAAATTATTCTCAGATTTGAAGCCGAAATCTATGACAAAAGGCACTCAGAAAAATTGAAAATTTGATAAATCACCCCAAATTGCTTAACACAATTTTATCTCAGGAACTATAAGTGCAAATGAGCTGAAATTTTCAGGGATTGTAGTCCCATGATTGGGATGAAATTCAGTGAAAGTTTCAACTTTCTATCTATAATAGAAAAAAAGTTACGACTTTACAAATTTTCCAAAATCTAAATCATAAGGTAGGTACCTTCTTACTAAAACGATAAAATTTAAAAAAAATTCTTGTCGAGATTTTGTATCCTAATGGTTAATCAACATCCCCCAAACTCCGTACACTAAATTATTCTCAGATTTGAAGCCGAAATCTATGAAAAAAGGCACTCAGAAAAATTGAAAATTTGATAAATCACCCCAAATTGCTTAACACAATTTTATCTCAGGAACTATAAGTGCAAATGAGCTGAAATTTTCAGGGATTGTAGTCCCATGATTGGGATGAAATTCAGTGAAAGTTTCAACTTTCTATCTATAATAGAAAAAAAGTTACGACTTTTCAAATTTTCCAAAATCTAAATCATAAGGTAGGTACCTTCTTACTAAAACGATAAAATTTAAAAAAAATTCTTGTCGAGATTTTGTATCCTAATGGTTAATCAACATCCCCCAAACTCCGTACACTAAATTATTCTCAGATTTGAAGCCGAAATCTATGAAAAAAGGCACTCAGAAAAATTGAAAATTTGATAAATCACCCCAAATTGCTTAACACAATTTTATCTCAGGAACTATAAGTGCAAATGAGCTGAAATTTTCAGGGATTGTAGTCCCATGATTGGGATGAAATTCAGTGAAAGTTTCAACTTTCTATCTATAATAGAAAAAAAGTTACGACTTTTCAAATTTTCCAAAATCTAAATCATAAGGTAGGTACCTTCTTACTAAAACGATAAAATTTAAAAAAAATCTTGTCGAGATTTTGTATCCTAATGGTTAATCAACATCCCCCAAACTCCGTACACTAAATTATTCTCAGATTTGAAGCCGAAATCTATGAAAAAAGGCACTCAGAAAAATTGAAAATTTGATAAATCACCCCAAATTGCTTAACACAATTTTATCTCAGGAACTATAAGTGCAAATGAGCTGAAATTTTCAGGGATTGTAGTCCCATGATTGGGATGAAATTCAGTGAAAGTTTCAACTTTCTATCTATAATAGAAAAAAAGTTACGACTTTACAAATTTTCCAAAATCTAAATCATAAGGTAGGTACCTTCTTACTAAAACGATAAAATTTAAAAAAAATTCTTGTCGAGATTTTGTATCCTAATGGTTAATCAACATCCCCCAAACTCCGTACACTAAATTATTCTCAGATTTGAAGCCGAAATCTATGAAAAAAGGCACTCAGAAAAATTGAAAATTTGATAAATCACCCCAAATTGCTTAACACAATTTTATCTCAGGAACTATAAGTGCAAATGAGCTGAAATTTTCAGGGATTGTAGTCCCATGATTGGGATGAAATTCAGTGAAAGTTTCAACTTTCTATCTATAATAGAAAAAAAGTTACGACTTTTCAAATTTTCCAAAATCTAAATCATAAGGTAGGTACCTTCTTACTAAAACGATAAAATTTAAAAAAAATTCTTGTCGAGATTTTGTATCCTAATGATTAATCAACATCCCCCAAACTCCGTACACTAAATTATTCTCAGATTTGAAGCCGAAATCTATGAAAAAAGGCACTCAGAAAAATTGAAAATTTGATAAATCACCCCAAATTGCTTAACACAATTTTATCTCAGGAACTATAAGTGCAAATGAGCTGAAATTTTCAGGGATTGTAGTCCCATGATTGGGATGAAATTCAGTGAAAGTTTCAACTTTCTATCTATAATAGAAAAAAAGTTACGACTTTTCAAATTTTCCAAAATCTAAATCATAAGGTAGGTACCTTCTTACTAAAACGATAAAATTTAAAAAAAATCTTGTCGAGATTTTGTATCCTAATGGTTAATCAACATCCCCCAAACTCCGTACACTAAATTATTCTCAGATTTGAAGCCGAAATCTATGAAAAAAGGCACTCAGAAAAATTGAAAATTTGATAAATCACCCCAAATTGCTTAACACAATTTTATCTCAGGAACTATAAGTGCAAATGAGCTGAAATTTTCAGGGATTGTAGTCCCATGATTGGGATGAAATTCAGTGAAAGTTTCAACTTTCTATCTATAATAGAAAAAAAGTTACGACTTTTCAAATTTTCCAAAATCTAAATCATAAGGTAGGTACCTTCTTACTAAAACGATAAAATTTAAAAAAAATTCTTGTCGAGATTTTGTATCCTAATGGTCAATCAACATCCCCCAAACTCGATACACTAAATTATTCTCAGATTTGAAGCCGAAATCTATGAAAAAAGGCACTCAGAAAAATTGAAAATTTGATAAATCACCCCAAATTGCTTAACACAATTTTATCTTAGGAACTATAAGTGCAAATGAGCTGAAATTTTCAGGGATTGTAGTCCCATGATTGGGATGAAATTCAGTGAAAGTTTCAACTTTCTATCTATAATAGAAAAAAAGTTACGACTTTTCAAAGTTTCCAAAATCTAAATCATAAGGTAGGTACCTTCTTACTAAACCGATGAAATTTCAATTTTTTTTTGTCGAGATTTTGTATCCTCAGATTTGGAGCCGAAATCTATGAAAAGAGGCACTCAGAAAAATTGAAAAATTGATAAATCACCCCAAATTGCTTAACACAATTTTATCTCAAGAACTATAAGTGCAAATGAGCTGAAATTTTCAGGGATTGTAGTCCCATGATTGGGATGAAATTCAGTGAAAGTTTCAACTTTCTATCTATAATAGAAAAAAAGTTACGACTTTTCAAATTTTCCAAAATCTAAATCATAAGGTAGGTACCTTCTTACTAAAACGATAAAATTTAAAAAAAATTCTTGTCGAGATTTTGTATCCTAATGGTTAATCAACATCCCCCAAACTCCGTACACTAAATTATTCTCAGATTTGAAGCCGAAATCTATGAAAAAAGGCACTCAGAAAAATTTAAAAATTAATAAACCATGCCAAATTGTTTAACACGATTTTATTTATGGAAGTATAAGTTCAAATGAGCTGAAATTTTCAGGGATTGTAGTTCTCTACTGCTATAAGTGTCCTTAAACAGTACCGATTTTGAAAAAAATGGACACAATTTTAATAGAGAAAGTATTATTCGCCTATTAAAAGATGAATGTGGAACCCTATCGAAATCATCATCGAGTCCTGATTCTTGATCGCTTTGAGGAGTTGAGGATTTTGGGATCAAATCTTAAATTCTTGATTGTTTTTTTCTTAATTTTCCGCTCTTTTTCTAAAGAATACTGGAAGAATCCTTGGGTCCTGAATCCTGAATCACTCTTCTGCAAACTTCCTAATTTGAATTCTTAGTCTAAGTCATTTGTCACTCTGCATATTTTTTATTTTCTCTAATTCTTCTCCAAAAAAAAAAGTTTGATTAAGTATTCCTGACTCTTGATTAAACTACTTTCATATCTCGGAAACTATTCAATCAATCAAAGCAATCCAATCCCAGCTTCTGGATTGGGTGTCTTTTTATATTTTTGACTGAAATCAAATTAATCCAAACAAAAGGTGGGATCAATAGATAAAAATTTGATTATTCCCGGCTCGTGATTGAGCTAGTTTTATATCTTTAATCAATCAAACCAATAATCAAATGAAGAGCCAGGAATAATCAAAATTTGATTTTTGAATAAGTATTCTTAACTCCTAATTATATTGTTATTATACACTACAATTCAAACAAAACAAACTCAATCAAGAATCTGGAATAATCAAAAATTGATGAATGATCAAAATTTTAATTTTAAATTATATTCTCAGCTTCTGATAGGGTGTCTTTTCCTGGTTCTCCTAGAGTAGAATTGAACTGGAAAAGTATCAAATTTCGATTCCTGACTATTTTAGAGTTACAGTTAGAATAGAGCGGTTTGAGAATGAGCTCATTTTGCACCCACATAGAGCTAAAATTCAACTGAGAAGAATAAAAATTCTATTCCAGGCTCTCCTAGAATATCAAACTCTAATTTCAGACCATCCAAAGACAGAAAGACTCATTTTTTTATTTTCTCGGAGCTAAATTTGAGGTAGAAAAACAGTAAAATTCTTGTTCCTGGTTTTCCTAGAGTAGAAATTGAACTGGAAAAGTATCAAATTTCGATTCCTGGCTATTTTAGAGTTACAGTTAGAATAGAGCGGTTTGAGAATGAGCTCATTTTGCACCCACATAGAGCTAAAATTCAACTGAGAAGAATAAAAATTCTATTCCAGGCTCTCCTAGAATATCAAACTCTAATTTCAGACCATCCAAAGTCAAAAAGACTAATTTTTGATCCGCTTGGAGATGAATTTGGATTAGAAAAACAGTAAAATTGTTGCTCCTGGTTCTCTTAGAGTAGAAATTGAACTGGAAAAGTACTTAATTTCCCACATTGCTCGACAGGATTTTATTTCTGGAACTTCAACTCCAAATGAGTTGAAATTAGAGACATGATTCTTCAAAGTTTTCTAAAACAAATTTTTTTTTGCAGATTGTTTGAAGAACATGGAGAATTATTACTGCTATTTGAAAAATTCAAAACCCTAAAGTCCAAAGAAGACCAAGCGACCAGTTTGGAACTTGCTGAACATGCCACAACCGTAATGAGCACTCTGGACGAAGGCATCAAAGGTCTGGACGATTTGGACACGTTTTTCGAGTACCTCCATCAAGTCGGCGCCAGCCATCGCAGGATACCTGGATTTAAAGCCGAATATTTCTGGGTAAATAATTTGAATTTTTTTTTCCAGAATTTTTTTTTGTCTTTTTTCCCTGTTTTGTTTGTGTTTTGTGTCTAGCTCTTTGTCCATCAACTATTGATTTATTCATTTTCAGAGGATCGAAAAGCCGTTTCTCGAAGCAGTAGAAACGACTTTAGGCGACCGTTACACCTCCAACGTAGAAAACATATACAAAATAACGATAAAATTCATCATAGAAACTCTTATCAAAGGATTTGATAATGCCAACGCCACGACCTGAAGACACAAAAAACGGAGCCAAACAATAGACTGAAATTTAATTTAAAAAAAAAGACAAAAAATAATGAGCTTCTGGAGCACACCTTTTGTACCAAACTTCTCCCTCTGATTGTATGTTTATAATTATTTTCACCCGTGTGTTCAAATTAAATTATTAAAACAAAATATTATTAATTATTGCAATTATTATTAGTGAACATTTTATTATTTGCTCCAAGTGAACCCAAAATAGTCCTCCAATTGTGATCCTAATAATATCGCATATTCACATTTGAACCAATAATGAAAACATGTAGCATTTGTAAATACACAATTTTTTTGTTTTTTTTTTTTAGTCACTAATAATAATTATTATTGTTGTTTATTATTAGCCAAAATATTATTATTTTAGATTGTTGTACCTATACTTTTAGCAACTAACTGTTTTTGATTGGGTGATAAAAATGTTATTTTTTAAATAATACAATACAATATATTCCGAATAAATTGTTGTTGGGCATAAATGTGTAATAATCTAGTCTATTTGTGAATTCAAATTTTTCTTTTTGTAAAATAAATTGTCAATTCGTATTATTTGGGTTTTGTTTTTTTTAATCTCGAAAGGCAACTAAAAATGTCATAATAATTATCAAAAACTCTGATGGAGGGAGTTTCTGTATAAATATTTTATCATTTTTATCTCGAGGAGCAGGCGTTGATTGCATTGAATAGGCGCTCGCTAAGATAATGAAAAATTATGATGGAAAGTGATGAAATTGTAAATTGGACTTAGTAAATTTTAATTTGAATCTTTAATGAATTTCAATTCTCTGAGATTAAAATAATAAACAGAAAATAATTAGAGTGGATGGAAAATGTGAGGCCAAAAATGGAATTTTCTTTTTGAAAGTCATATTTTTTAAAGAGTCAGAAATTTTGAAGATTTCAATTAAAAATTATTAAAAAGTTCTCACAATCAATAACCATATCGATGTCTGATCTACGTTAATTTTGCCTGAGAACTTTGAGAATTTCAATCCAATGTCAGATAGACTGGTAAACATTTTCAGAAATTTTACTCCGAGCGGCATTTCGTGCGACATTCGGCAACTTAACGTTTCTAGGGTATTTCGACCCCGCTGAATCCAAATCCAGATGTTGCCAAGCCGAATTTTGTTTCCAAAGGCCTCAAACTCTAGATGGCGGCCAAACTAAGGGCCTAAATGACATTTTTCTTTAAGTGTATCGTTATTGACTGGCGAGATGTCGTGTGAATGTGAGCCTAAATACAAAACTTTTAAAAGTTGGCATTTTGTCAAGTGCGGCATATCGGCACATATATTTTTGACGTCGACTATAGATCAAAAATTAGCACCAGAAATCGATTAGGCAACCGGAATTACCCTAATCCAAGATGGCGACCGATTAAGGCCCAAATACCAAACTTTAAAAAGTTACTATAATATGACGTGCTGGGTATGACCACAAGTGTTTTAAAGGTCGCTGAACACGAATTTGAGGTCGGAAAAGCGATAGGAAACATGTTAACACAGGTTTGCCGATATAAAATAGTACAACTATACTTTGAGGGGTAAACAAAATGCACAAAACATTTCACATGAATACATCATCACTGTCATTGTTGTTTCGCAGTCTGAGATGAGATGGATTGCTCTTCCTTGCAATCTACGCACGAAGGGGCTGATACTCGTATTGCATGCAGTAAACAGTACCCACAGTAGAGTTGTCGTGTTTACAAGAGACAAAAAAGTATTTGTTTTGCTCCTGCACCATTTCAAGGAAATGAAATACAAAGAATGTTTTATGATGGCTGGTACTGCTAAGGACAGAAAGTACGTAATGTTTGTTTCACCAGGGGTGCGTTCGAAATCACTCTGGGCGTCACACCGAGTGCACAACAGCTATAAATTATTCATGGCTGGTGTGCACTCGGTGTGACACCCAGGGTGATTTTGAACGCACTCCAAGATTTGTACTTGCCACCAGCATTTGCCTTCCTTGTTTAACAAATAAAAATTGACTGAAACAAATCAATGACGTCAAAAACGTTCGTCGGTTCTTAAACCAAAAGTCATTAATTTTAATTTGTCAAAAAAATTGAATGTATACCTATATGAATGAATCTACGACAATCCTTTTTATTCAAGTTTCAAGGTCAAGTATGAACCCTGGTGAAACGAACCTTACCTATTCATACAGTTGCAGCGTCAATGTCTCTCAGTGAGCGAAACAATATCCTCATATTCCATGTGCTAACCGGTTGTGACACTAACTCATTCATAACAGGTCAGTATCCAGTTTTTTACGTATATTTTTGCTGCACTCGACACTTACTCAAATTCATATCACAGGTATAGGAAAGAGAGGTGCTCTAGTTGTATATCTTACACATTCCAAGCTTCTAGATGGACTCGCAGTTGCAGAAGTTCAAGACAGATTTTTGTCAAAGTGCGAGCAATTCATGGTACTTTTATACAAGAGAAGAGAAAATACCTGTGATGAAGCGAGACAGATTCTTCTTGGAAAAGTTTCAAGTCCTAAACTGCTCCCAACTCATTCTTCGAGCCACCTACCAAGCCTGGGTCTGGCTGAATGCACATATAGCAAGGCTAAACCTTCCTGATCCTTGTCGGTACGGATGGCGTCTGGAGGAGAAATACATCCCAGTCTACACCACCCTGTTAAGGGTGTCCAAGTATTATAAAACACTGAACCGATAATTGAATTTCAACCTTTGGTTGAATCCTATCAATTTGCATGGAGTCAACCGAAAGTTTTTGAAACTCATCCATCGGTTCAGTGTTCTATAATACCGGCTATAAGAATAATTGATCTCAGATTGAAGCTTGTTGAATCCTCTACAAATCTTCATTTTTGGATTTCAATGCAGCCTCACTTGAAAATCAAAAAAATCCAAGCTAAAACGTCTCTTGATGTGAGAATGACATCAACGTTGGTTTTGCCTGAAAACTTTAAGAATTTCAATCCAATTTTAATGTAATTGACCTCAAATTGAAGCTTATTTGAATCACCTACAAATCTTTAGTCTTAGATTTCAATGCAGCCTCAGCACCCTCAACACAAATTAATAAATGATTATGATGATGATATGTTGATTCTTTCTAGAAAAAAAATGAAAAAAGCCGCACAAAATCAGTGAACAGAAATTTTGAAAGAACTATGTAATTTTTGTTTCAGAAACTGAAATCCTGAAAAATTAATCCTTAGAGCCTCCAAAACGTTCTAGAATCTCAGTTTTCATAATTATTGTGTCTTTAAAATCATTAAATCTTTTGCAATTTTTAACTTTTAGGTCTCGCAAAGATAATCCTACTCCTAACGGCCGGTATTTCAATGTTACCTTAAAAGCAAGACTTATCTAAGGTACCCTTAACGTTAAGGTGAACTTGAAATGAGCTCATTCAGGTGGCTTAAGATCCACCTTGAATTAGGGGAACTTTGATATACGGTAAAACTTGTATTAAGGATGACTTAACATTATTCTGTACCTTAAGGTGACATTGAGATACCGGCCCTAAATTTCTAAGTGATTAAGGGCGGGTATTAAACTATTCTGAAAGATGACTAGAACTTCGCCGTGGCCGGTCCCAAGTCCGGATTAGAAAGAAGGAGGGGGAGGAGTAACAACCTCGAGAAAAAACCAGGATTCATCTGGCTCGGATGATAGCACCCTGTAAGGGTTCCTGCCTGGGATTACAGGTGAAGAGGTCAATGGTTCTGAGACCAGATGAGGACACAACAATCGTCCCAATGGTCAAAGAGGCGGAAGAACCAACAGGGGTGGACGAAAGGAAATAGTGGTATTGGAAAACCTGAATGCTCGCATAGGGTGCAAGGCAAATGACAGTATTATGGGACGATACGGCGAAGGAGTCGTGAATAATAACGGCGAAAGACTTATAGAGCTATGCCAACAAAACTCTATGAAAATACTGAACGGCTGGTTTAAACACAAATCGATTTATAAATACACTTGGACTAGACTCAGACTCAACCTTAAAAATTGTATAGACTACATCATTGTCAAACAGGCGGCAAAAAGAGTACCTAAAGACGTGAGGGTGCTCAGAGATGCTGAGTGCGGATCCGACCATTACCTTTCAGTTGCTATGAAAGTACCTCAAAAAAAGACCCAAACCAAATTCAATATAATATCCAGAGCTTACAGGATGACTCCATTCGCTTTCTATATACCAACTCAGACTTGCTCCTAAAGCTTGCAAGTAAGTATCATAAAATTCATAAACGATTCTGCCAATAACATGTACGAGGCAGTTAGAAGGGCAATGCACGAAGCCGCCTTAGAAGCATTAGGAGAATACCAGAATAATAAAGAAAAGGCAAAAGTGTGAGTTGTGGTGGACAGACGAAGTAGAAGCGGTTGTGGGTGAGAAGAAATTGGCGTACAACAAATGGCTGAGCACTAAAACGCAACAGGATCTGGACAATTATAGAGACAAGAGAAAGAAAGCACAAAAAGAGGTCACGAAAGCTGAAAACGAAATCTGGCTGAAAATGTGCGATAAAATAGACAGAAGCATGGGAAATACACGGGTCAACAAAGCTTGGAAAATATTGAAATCTATGAGAACTCAAGGCAAGGACAAAGCGGGTATTAGTCTCATAGACATCAAAAATTGGATAGAAACAGGCAACCATAACATCCATCTATAAAAAAGGCAGCAGAAAAGACTTCGCGAATTATAGAGGTATCAGCGTTATGCAGTCCATAGCTCGAATGTACGGACGCATGATAAATGATAGAATAGAGGCAGATACAAGAGAATCTGAAGAACAAAATGGATTCAGACCTGGACGCTCGTGCATCAATGATGTATTTACGCTTAGAAATCTTATTGAAAAGAGAACGGCCAGAGGACTCACAACCCATTTAGTTTTTGTCGATTTGCAAAAAGCACACGACACTGTTCCGCAAAGCAAATTGTGGACATCTTTGATAAATATTGGTGTAAGTTATTCTTATGTGAACGCCGTTAAATCATTTTTTTTACAAGCGTGCGGGAAATGGCTCTTCCCGCACAGCAGGAACACTTTCTTCCCGCACCGGAGCGGGAAGAGATTCCTTCCCGCACTCAGTGCGGGAAGAGTTTGAAATAATCATTGTGACATGGAATTGTTTGTATTGTTGATACACCTATACCTGTACCTTTACCTTTTTATAAATACCTTTTAATACATTTTTAATTCTACCTTCTGCATAACTGCCTTTTATTTAAATTAAACTCTCCGTAACATCAGCTTTAGTATGCTCGTAGAAAAAATATAGTTCCTAACTCTTGCGGGAAGAAATTTCCGCACTCGTTAGGAAAATAGCTATTACAACGGCCTATTCATAAATATGTCCAAGACAGAGTATTTGAAAATGGGAGATACTGACCTAGAAGATCTTGCTATTGACAGTTGACACTGTAAAAGGATGTAAGGCATTGAAATATTTGAGCGTTACAATCTCAGCTGACGGTAAGAGCCTGGGAGATATCAACAACAAAATAGCACAAGGAAAACGAGCTATTAGACAACTGAATAGCATTCTTTGGAACCGCAATATAAATAGGAGAACTTAGCATATTATTTACCGCTCAATAGTAGAAAGCATAAGCACTTATGGATCGGAAATTTTGGAGCTGAACCAACGACAAGAAGAACGGCTACTAGCCCTAGAAATGGACTCTTGGAGTCGAAGTTGTGGAATTTCTAAGCTAGACCACGTGAGGAATCAAACCATCAGAGAAAGAATGGATGTATAAGGTTCCATAATAGATACCACAGAAAGAAAGCGACTCCTAGGGTATGGTCATTTAGAAGACATGGGCCCCAATAGATGGCCTAGAAGAGTATGGCAACAAAGACGGAAACGAGGAAGACCCTCAAGATCCTGGAGAGATGTAATAGAGGCGATGGAAGCAAGGGGCCTCAACGATGGCGATTGGAACGACAGAAGAAGATGGAAATCGGGCAGCGACAGCCGTAAAAGACTCGATATATACAGGGTGTTCCTAAATATCATGTACAAATGGAAAGGGGTGATTCTTTGGGTTACTTTATGACTAAAATTTCTAATAAACATAGGTCCGCAAATGCTTCGTTACCGATCTACAGGGTGTTGAAATTTTAAGATTTTTTAGTTTTTTCTTTCTAGCTCCTGCAATTTTTGAGGGATTTAGCTCAAATTTGGAATATAGGTTACACAATAAGAGCTGGATGATTGCACATGTCAAACGTTTCGCGGTGCGCTGCTAGTCGATTCTAAAAAACAAAATAACTTTTATACCTTGTTTAGAAACTTTTTGCAGTGACTCAATAAACCTTTTCTAACTATAGTGGCGACAATAGAGGTCTCGCAGCCATTTTCTTGCTCATTTTCAATAGGAATCTAGAAATAAGACACCCTTCGCCGCCATATTCTTGCTCATTTTCAATAGGAATGTAGAAATAAGACACCCTTCGCCGCCATATTCTTGCTCATTTTCAATATGATTACATTAAAATTTCAACACCCTGTAGATGGGTAACGAAGCGTTTGCGCATCTTTGTTTATTAGAAATTTTAATCATAAAGTAAACCAAAGAATTACCCCTTTCCGTTTGTACAGTACATGATATTTGATAACATCCTGTATATAGAAAGATGATTAAAAGTTAACTTCTGGAAATACTATGATAAGTATCGTCATCCCAGAAGTTAACTTTAAGTTATTCAGTCAAAATAGTTTTATAATACCCGCCCTTAGTGAAAAACATCAACACGAAAAGTTCTTGAAAATCAACTACCAGAAACTAGATTTTATAAAAAAACACTCTCACATATTTGATTTTTCTTCTGAAAAACTGTTGCAGAAATAATTTTGAAATTTTCTGGATGAAAAGAGGAAGAATGGGAGCTCATTTAAGTGAAATTTCAAATGGATTCAGTGAAAAACAACTTCCAGAAACTGAGTTTTACAAAAAACATTCTCGCATATTTGATTTTCTTTCTGGAAAATTGCTGCAGAAATAATTTTGAAGATTTCTGGATGAAAAGAGGAAGAATGGGAGCTCATTTAAGCGAAATTTCAAATTGATTCAGTGAAAAACATCAACACGAAATATTCTTGAAAATCAACTTCTAGAAACTAGATATTACAAAAAAAAACACTCTAGCATATTTGATTTTTTTTCTGGAAAACTGTTGCAGGAATAATTATGAAATTTTCTGGAGCTCATTTAGGTGAAATTTAAAACTGATTCAGTAAAAAACATCAACACGAAAAATTCTTGAAAATCAACTTCCAAAAACTAGCAATCAAAGTAGGAGGTTGAAAATATTTAGAATCATCAGTAATCTTAAACTTCGTCAATTATTATGAAGTCGAATTGACTTATTCCCGTCTAAAGCAATATCTCTGTAATGTTTATACATAAAATGTACCAGCGTTTTTCAGTTTTGAACCTTTGAAGGATAAGTTGGATAATAATTTATTCCACACTTTCCTAATGGTTTGTTTATAAATAAAAAGTGAACCATGTGCGTTACTGGTGTAGTGGTTTTAATAATGTTATTACTGGATTCAACCAAAGGTAATAATAATTAATTAATTAAAATACTTTTCAATTATAGTCTTCAATAAATTATTAGTCACTTGATTATAAATAAACTCTTGGCTTGGAAAAATATTTGATTAAGTTTATGAGTAGGTAAATATACCGGTATAAATCAACAATTCGTGATAATTGTTATTATGTGTATGACGTTTTTCTTGGAAGATTTTCTCATTGAGAATATAATTCAATTAAATATATAATATTTGACAGGAAACTGATAAATTGTTGAAAGGAAGCAACACACAAAGATAAAATTATCGTTTATGTTTTTAGCTTTTCAAATGCCACCTCAAATAATCCGAAATACTACAAACAATCTGGTAATAGAAGCAGGAAATAATTATACCCTTACATGTGAAGGATATCAGCCTATTAAATGGACTTATCCGCAACCCTTTTCGGTAATTGATCAATTATAATATTACCGATTACTGATATCTCATTTTATAGAAAATCAAACAAAGTTGGACAAAATTCACTATTATAAATGACAATAATACAAACAAATCAACATTGCATATAACAAATATGTCATATCCGTTTGTGGGTTATTACACTTGCCAATATGAAACTATTGAGGAACAAGACCAGATTTATTTGTATGTAAATGGTAAGAGTTTCATTTATTCTCTAAAACTAGAAAAATATATTCGTACATTTCCTAGATCCAATCCATTTGTCTGTCGAAGACGACTACAATACTCACTACGCGGTTCAATATCAAGAAACCACGATTCCGTGCAGACCGACCGCTCCAGATATTGAAGTGCAACTCATCAGTTTCCAGACTGTAAGTGAATTTGTTGTTTGGGTTTTTATTTTTGGCAATTATTTTGAATTAGGAGTCGAGCCCTTTCAACCCTCGAAAAGGATTCACTTTAACGCTTGCCGAGGAAAAATCGGGAGACATGTATATTTGTCAGTTCACTAGGGGATTTGTCGTACAGAAAACGGTTATTTTGGATGTCGAGTGTAGGTTGGCATCTTTTCAAAATTTAACAACATGATAATGGAAATGATTCAAGGCGATAATTTGAGTGTTCAAATGCATTCACATTTATTATTATTTCGGTGAGCGATTTTGATTTAGGGATTTTTGCATAGTAACTTTTCAGAAGTTACTTTACTGCACAAGTGCGGATATGTTTTAAGTGGATGAAAGTGAGAAAAAGCAACGATAAATATTGAAATGTTATTATGATGTATAGTTACTTTAAAACCAACCCGAAGGTGACTCGATATTGAAAAATCGGCCCACAGGGACGAAAATATGTAGCAACCCTGGCACAAAAATTGCAGCAACCCTGACGCCATAGAACCTGACGCAAACGTCAAAAAATTTAATATGTCAAAGGCCTTGTAATTTTTGACAATTAATTCAAAATGGCGTTTGTTTATTTTTTTTTGTTTTGAGGTGTTTTTTAATTGCAAAGTAGCTCTAACACCCTCTGAGTAGGACAAGGAAAGAGATAAAGTAGGATGTAATTCAAGTGCTCACTTTTTTTGAAAGAGGCAGAAAAACCTTATCTACCCCTAATTTTAGTATTTAAAACTAGAAATTTTTGGATGAAAATGAATAAAACTCAAAGCCTCGTACTCAAAATCGGGTTTCTTGATCAAAAAAGCACTGGAAAAGCGGAGAATCCAAAGAAAATACCGTAAAAATGACAATCCAAAGTCTACTTTATAAAACTTGAGTTTTTGTCCCTTACCCCATTGGAAAACTGGAAATTTTTGGCAAAAAATGAAGAAAACTCAAAGTATCGTCTTATCAATCGGTTTTCCCAATTGAAAAAAGCATGGAAAAGCGGAAAATTCGAGGAAAAACTGAATAAAAACGTTCAAAAATGACCGACTGTCAAAACTGGGAAATAACATTGTGCGACGTTGCCACATCTCTAATAGGAAAAAATTATATTTCAAATAGTTTTTTGTTTAAATAATTAATTATTAATGTTTATGAAATGATAAATTCGGAAAATAATGCATTGGAATCTTATATTTAATAAATTTCAATAAAAATGACATTCCAAGGCCTGCTTTATAATAAATAAGACAAAAAGGGAGATAAAGTAGGAAACAATTTAAGTCTAAAAATGGAAGTTTTTGGTGGAAAAATGAAGCAAATTCAAAGCCCCGCCTTTAAAATCATCTTTTTCTAATTGAAAAATCCCTGCAAAAGTAGAAAATTCAATGGAAAACCAACATTCCAAAGCCTACTTGAAAAATCAAAGTTTTGGTCACTTACTCCATTGGAAAACTGGAAATTTTTGGTGGAAAATGGAGAAAACTCAAAGCCTCGAACTTTAAAACAGTTTTCCCGATTGAAAACGGCCTGGAAAAGCGGAAGATTCGATGAAAAACTCGATAAAAATGTAAACTCGTCAATTGAAAATGGCACGACTGTCAAAAATGGCAAATGACATTTATTACAAGGTCTACTTGAAGTTGGCTACAAGCGGTGTTGCCACATCACAAAACTTCCAAAAAAAATCATTTAAAATGGGATTCTACTTGTAATTTAATAATTAAAAACCCGTTAAATAATTAATTAATAACGATTTTGAAATTAGAAATTCCTTGAATAAGGCCTCAAAAACTTGCTTTTCAATAATTTTCTATTCCATTCAATAGTTTATTAAATCAGAACAAATTCTATTATAAGTTTCTTTTAACAACTTTCCATTATTTCAAGACAACAATTCTATTTCATGAACATCAAGTTTCTTTTCAAAATTTCCTATTGCAGTTAATAGTTTATCAGAACAAATTCTATTTTCGGATTCCTATGCCTAGCTAATAAACCCAACTGTTTAATTCATAATCCCTACTCAAAACAGTGATAATTGTATATTGGTAAGTGCATTATCATATTTTTGGTGCAAAATTAAATTAGAATGTCATTATATCTGAAGGCAATTAAAGTTATGCAATAATATTCGATTGATATTTCACTCTATAGTCATTTATCTTTTATAAAGTCAAAAGTTTTTCTAGTAAAAATCACTCAAGTTTTTAGGCATTAAAAGTCATTGTTAATTCACTTCTTATCATCCAAAATCATTGATAAAAGTCAGAAAGTTTTACTAGTCAAAATCATTCAAGTTTTTAGGCATTAAAATTCAAAGCTTAATCACACAGTCATGTTCATCATTTATATTCAAAATAAATCTTGTCACTATAGAGTACTTACATTTTGTCCATAAAACACAAAACTAATCTAAATTAATTCTTTTGATTACTTAATTTAATTTACGCACATAATTGTTGAACGAATTTCAAAACTTAGTTCTTTCACGATTTTTCGTACTTTTACTAAGTCAAATTAAACCCGGGCCATACGCCATGAAAGTAACTTTTCGCGAAACCGAACAGACTTTAATTTAAACTGGACTGGACTGTTAATAACTGGCAACTCAACTCTTTTCCACTTCTAAAACCGCGGTATTTATATTAAATCAAGTATTATTAATTATCCCCCAAATCGTAAATAGGCGGTCGTTTGCCTAGCAATCCGAATTCCATTGGCCGACCTAAATATTATTAAAAATAATGATGCAATTTCCTTGAAATTTTTATCATTCTTAGTTTAAAAGAATCGAATAATTATGTCGCATATCCTAATTTATCGAGGTCAATATATCTTTCTTTTTTTTTTCTCAAGAATGCCATAAATCATTTATAATTACTTGGCCTCGCTCTTTCAAGTTCATTGATTTAGGAGATGACACAGGCTTGATGACGAAACATCTAATATAATATTAAACGTTAATTTGTTCCCTTTTCAATTTATTGATACTGATTTGGAGATACCGGAAATTCTGTTTTTTGATTATTTGACATTTATTAAATTTTTACAGTAAAAACATTGTGATTTATGGGTCTATTTTCTCGGAATATTACAAGATGATGAATTCGCTGAGAGGTGGAAGATATTACAAAACAAACTAAAAAAGATAGAAGAACTTGAAATCCCTAAATGGAGACATTATGAAGGCAGCCAGTTAGAGTACAAGCAAAATCCACAGTGGTTTTACGCAGCAGTGTTATCAAAATTACTAAAAAACACCCTCAGAGTTATGAACATAAAGAAAGCTCGGTTATATGTATGAACTGATTCGATGATAACGTAGGGATGGATTCGAGGTGATGCGGCTAAATGAAAAACATTTGTAGCGAACAAGGTTACCGAAATACACAGCAATAAACCACTAGAGGATCACCGTCAATTCGTCATAAATCAATATGTTGAACGTCAATTTCCTATTCCATATAATAGTTTATTTAATCAGAACAAATTCTATTATAAGTTTTCCTTAAACCACTTTTCAATATTTTAAGACAACAATTCTATTTCATGAACATCAAGTTTCTTTTCAAAATTTCCTATTCCATTTAATAGTTTATTTAATCAGAACAATTCTATTTTCGGATTCCTAGCCTAGCTAATAAACCCAACTGTTTAATTCATAATTCTTACTGAAAATTGTATATTGTTAAGTGCATTATAAATTCCCTTCATAGTTTCTTTGCACAATTAAATTAGATTGTCATTATATCTGAAGGCAATTAAAGTTATGCAATAATGTTCCATAGTCAAAACACTCGAGTTATTAATATTTATGCAATAAAGTTCCAAAGTTAATTATAAAGTCAAAAAGTTTTACTAGTAAAAATTACTCAAGTTTTTAAGCATTAAAAGTTATTGTTAATTCACTCCTTATCATTCAGAATCAATGTTAAAAGTCAGAAAAATATTAATATTCACTTAAAGTACTTACATTTAAATAATTGTCACTCGATTAAATACTTAATTAATTACTCAGAAATTCTCTAGAGCCCGCAACGAATTTCAAATGTTATTTCTTTCACAATTTTTCGTATTTTTTCTAAGTTAAATCGAACGCGTTTTCCGAGGCAGCTTCGCGAATTTTACTCAGACTGACTCATTGGTACTGTAGACTTTAACACAGACTTGACTAACAACTGGCAATTCAACTAACAACTAACAACTCCCTTTCTATTCTAAAACCGCGGTATTTATATTAAATCGATCACCCCAAATTTCTCTGTCCATGACAATTAGGATGATGCAATTTCCTTGAAATTTTTATTATTTTTAGTCTAAAAAATCGAATAATTATGTCGCAATATCCTGATTTATCGAGGTCAAAACATTATTGGTTCAAGAATGCCATAAATCATTCGATTTAATTACCCTGTCCTCGTTTTTATTATTTTTAAGAATTTGATTTAGATGATGACATAGGCTGGGTGTCGAAATACGTTAGCGTTAATTTGTTTCATTTTTAATTTATCGATACTGATTTGAGATATCGGAAATTCAGTTTTTGATTGTTTGATTAAATTTAATTTTTGCAGTAAAGACATTGTAATTATCGGGACTATTTTTCCCGGATCATTACAATTATATTACTAGTTTGATAAAGTAACATTAATAATTCCTGTTGAAAGGCAAATTGACAAAGAGTGAATAATCATAATCTTAAAAATTTTGACTCTATATAATAAGTTATTGTTCAAGTACAAATAAGTGAACTGTTGAGGAACTTATGGGTGGACCTCTGCGGGACGAGCGCAGCGAGTTCCGCAGCCATCTATTCCTCAATAACTGAACTGTTCAAGTAAGACATTCACCTGAAACGTTTAATTTTTAAGTAATGAGAATAACGCACATTTGAGTGAGTCAGTTAAGTATCGTAATTAAACACCACATTGATGAATAGATGGCTGAGGTCCACCCAAAAGTTCCGCAATAATTCACTCATTTGTACTTGAATAACTTGTCACATTATATTACTAGTTTGATAAAGTAACATTATTAATTCCTGTTGAAAGGCAAATTTACAAAGAGTGAATAATCATAATCTTAAAAATTTTGACTTTATATAATAAGTTATTGTTCAAGTACAAATAAGTGGATTGTTGCGGAACTTATGGGTGGTCCTCTGCGGGACGAGCGCAGCGAGTTCCGCAGCTATCTAATTACCAATATACATATAATTTTGCAAGTGGATTAAAACTTAGGAAAAAATAAAAATTTCCTTCCGATCGTTCACCTTTAACACGTTGAAGGACAGAGACGCAGTTCAGCGTCATTTCCTGAAGCCGTGATGTGACACAACGCTGATATGCGTCTTCAGATTGATGTTTGAAAATGACACGACGCCGCTCAGCGTTTGTATCTACCATAACATCTAATCTTCACTGTCACAATATGTTCGAATATCAGTGCCGTAGTGTCACATATTTGAAATTTATTTACCTTCCCAGTCCCACTCCACAAATAGAAACCGAACGCTGTCCAGCGTCTGCATAATTTGGTATCTTACAGAAATGTTCACTGTCCTTCAACGTGTTAAGAAGCAAACCACCAAGGAATACTTTGCCAAGACAGTGGGAAATTTAGAGGAATCTCTAGACTTTTTGTAGGAGTTTTGCACAAATTCAGGGGGGAAGTTTACTCCTTGCTCAATGTAGTAGTATGTGAGTTTAAATTCATCAAAATTTTACCAAAAAAAGTCGCTCACCTATAACTATAATTTGTCGCCTTCAATCATTTCAATAGACTAATTTATTATTACAGATCAAAAACGAATTCGACCCAAAAACTGGATTTACCTTCTCAGTACCTCAAATAACCTTTGCCGACTCTTATCACTGCATATTCACTCGTCACAGTGATAATAAACGCTTTGAATTACCAATTTTTCTCGAAGTTGATTGTAAGTAAACTGTTATCATAGGTGACGGCTATTGTGTTGTTGGTGATGGTTTTATTTTTTGCAAAATCCAGTTTTGTGGTGTTTGTTTGTTTAAAAATATTAAAAAACTAATCAATATTTTCCCTAAGCTCCGAGATATTACATAGCGACGCCATCTATTGAAGACCAATCCTATAATCATACCGATGTTGGCGAAACACTTAATTTGACTTGCTACTTACAGGAAACTTCTGAAAATGTTTTCTTTTACTGGTCAACACCCAGAGGAATTTTTAATGTAAGAATTTTCATTTATATTTTATACTAACTAACAACACTTATTAGTCTAAAGATGGTGCAGTTAATGATGTAATAATCAAAAGGCCCCAATTCACTACAATAAATGGCTTAAAATGTTTAGAATCAAAACTACAAATCAAAAACAGCCAACTTAGCGATTCCGGATTGTATTCTTGTAAAGTATTGGATCGGCAAAGTAATTCTGCTATTGAATATGCTAATGTTACTGTACAAGGTGAGTAGATATTTACAATAAACCAAAAACCCAATTTCGCTTACTACTACAGATCCCAACAATTGCTACATTGAAATAAGTCCAGAAGATTCAATAACAGTAAATGCTAATGAACAAGTCCAATGGATTGTGGAAGTAAACGCACATCCAAAGCCAGAATTGATGTGGTTTGATAATAAAAATAGTTTAATTAGGAACAATTCAGTATATCATACGGAAATTCTACAAGATAAGGCATTGTTTCAAATTCATAATGCCTTGCTTGAGCATACAGGATTTTACACTTTGAAAGGGATTTCAAATAGGGAATTTTTGCCTAATGATGGAAATTGTCCGGCTGTAGCTGAAACAAAATTGATTTTGAATGTAAAAGGTAATTATATTTAGTAGTTGTTTAAAGAAATATTATTATCCATTTATTTTGTAGTGAAGCCTACGGTTTGTTTAGGCTCTCCATCAATAGAAGACATATTATGCAAAAATCCTCATGTTCCAATTATTTATGTGGCTAATCAAGAAGCTGAGCTTGAATGTAGAGCTACAGGGAATCCTTTGCCAAGACTTGCATGGCAAGAACAAGTTTGTTTGAATGACGAGTGCAAATTTGTTCAAGTAAGAATCCTCTATTTGATTCTCAGTTTTCACATTTCAATTTTTGTTTATTCCTGGCTCTTGAATTTCTTTTTTTTTTCAATTTCTTTCAAATAAAATGAATTCAAAAGCCTAGAGAAGACTGAAAGAATCTTTAGCAAATTTCTATTTTTCCTTAAGAAGATTTTTAGGATTTCTATTCTGAGTCATTTATCACTCTGCACATTTTCTCTTATTATCCTCCAAAAAAACTCTTAAAACTTTTGATCGTTATTTTCTCAATTTTCCCATTTTCCCTAAAAAGACTGGAAAAAAGTCGGAAATGAAAATAGAGGACATGATGGAAGAATCATTCAGTCTCTCTATTGTATTTGAAAAATCACAACTTCATCATCCTTGACTTTTTGATGATAAAGTTTTGATATCTTAGAGCCAAAAACTTCCGGAGCTCATAAATAATTGGTAGTCCTTTCAGGTATGCCAATTTTCCAGAAAAAAAAATCGAAAATGGAAGTAGATGACATGATGGAAGAATCATTCAATCTTTTCACTGTATTTCAAAAATCACAACTTCATTATTCTTGACTTTTTCCTAATAAAGTTTTGGTATCTTAGAGCCAAAAACTTCCGGAGCTTATAAAAAAATTAAAAGCTCTTCCAGGTATACGGACTCTCTAGAAAAAGAATCGAAAATTAAAATAGAGGTCATGATTGAAGAATAACTCAATTTTTCTATTTTATTTGAAAAATCACAACTTCATTATCCTCGACTTTTTACTGATGAAGTTTTAGTATCTTAGAGCCAAAAGCGTCCGGCTCTCATGAAAAAATTGGTAGTCCTTTCAAGTATACCAAACAAAAAATCCAAAATGAAAGTAGATGACATAGTGGAAGAATTATTCAATTTTTTCACTGTATTTCAAAAATTACAACTTCATTATCCTTGACTTTTTTCTTATAAAGTTTTAGTATCTTGGAGCCAAAAACTTCTGGAGCTTATAAAAAAATTGGCCGCAAAATACTTCAAAGTACCTACTACGCAAGACCACGAAAAATTACCAATTACCAACGAAATACTTTGAGATATTATTTTCTCAATACCTTTACACATTTATTTATACAGAGTGAATGTCCTCAAAACATTCCGAACTAAAATACAATTTGACAAACAATTTTTTTCAGATAAATGCATCCTCAATACCAAAACTTGACGGTTTCACAATTCAAAATTACTTCAAAGTGAATACCACCAGGAATAGTATTATTAAATGCATTGCCACTAACGATTTAGGCAAGACTGAGTCAGCAAAGGAGTATTTTATATCAGGTAAAAAGTATTTTTATATTGTCAGAATGAGAATTGAACCATTTCAGATGTTCAAAATGGCTTTGATATTGACGACTTCACACCTGGTTCAATTATAAGCAAAACTGCATCCGGAATAGAAGTTATTGTAGCAGAAAACGAAACTTTTACGTTCACTTGTGGCGTTTCTCCACAAAAATCCGAAACTTTGCAAGTGTTTCTTAATGATGAGCCATTAAATGAAAGTAAGCTCAGTACAATATTTTAATTTTAAGTTCATTTATAAACTCTTTCATTTTAAGGACACGACACAAATAAAGTGAGAAGTAACTGGTCAAAAAAAACCAAAGTAATATTGAAATACCCTCAACTAAGTGATTCTGGAAAATATAGTTGCAAAATCAAAAACTTACACGATCAGTTGTTTGAATACAAAAACTTCACACTTCAAGTGAAAGGTAAAGAAACTTTTCTAAGTAAAACTCAAGATTTGAAACTTAATTTTAGTGCCCCAACCACCCATAATCACCAAAACCAATCTGGACAAGGAAATTTTAATTGACTATCCAAAAATGAAAAAGGAATTGAGGTGCTATGTCACTGGAATTCCAAAACCTACAATTGAATGGTTCAAAGTAAGTTCCCATAATTATCATACAAAATTATACAGGATGACCGATGAGATCCTTATATTTACATACGAATTTATACCACCCTGTATAAAATTGTCGTATCTAGGATAATAGGGCATCTCCCTTCGGTTAATTAAACTCAATCGTCATGGGCTTCAGGAAAATCATTGATCACGTTACATTTAAATAACATTCCATTACAAGTTGAACAAATTATTGAATTATTAATTTGTACGTACAAGAAACTTAAACCCATGGAAGGTCAATGTCAACGACAGTTTACTAGTAGTTATTGTAATTAGAGATCATGCACCCTGGTCGCTCGACTAACATAAAATAAGGGGTTTTGGAAGATGAGGAGTTAATCTACAAACATGTGGTATGATTCACCACAAATACATGTCAGTTATGGATATGGGCACTAATAATTATCACAGGATTAAAAGGCACTATTACTATAAACTAACTAACGCGGATAATTCTTCGTCTGTAGACCAACCCCGCATCTTCCAAAACCCCTTATTTTATGTTAGTGAACTGTCGTTGACATTGACCTTCCATGGGTTTAAGTTCCTTGTACGTACGAATTAATAATTCAATAATGCATTCAACTTGCAATGAAATGTTATTTAAATGTAACGTGATCAATGATTTTCCTGAAGCCCATGAACTTCTTTTGGAAGACGATTGAGTTTAATTAAAAGAAGGGAGATGCCCTATTATCCTATATACCACAATATGATTAAATTTTAGGGTACCCAACTAATTACTCCATCAGATCGATTCATTTTCAAAGAAAACAACATGGTTTTGTTTATCAATGGCACCGAACTGGGTGATGAGGGAATTTACCAATGCAGTACCTACAATTCCATTGGATACATGTCCAAACATGCAACCCTAAGATTCAAAGTAAAACCAATTTCAGTAATTTACTATTATGTAACTGGATGCATTGCTATTCTACTGATTATTGCAGTCATTTATATTTGTATCAGAATAAGGAAAGAAAGAGTAAGAAAAATGTATAGGTATGAAAAATTAATTTTTAAAATTTCCTAATTAAGGCATTAAGACGAGAATTAAAACTGCTGGGCTTGGAAAACTTCCACAATGGAAACCCAGAGAATCTAAATCCAGAATTGGGCATTGACGATCAAGCCGAACTTCTACCCTACAACCAAAAATTTGAATTCCCAATAGAAAATCTAAAACTTGGTAAGTTTATTTAAATTCCATATTATAACTCATTTAAATTTTGCTTTTCTCAAGGTAAACAATTGGGTTCTGGTGCATTTGGAGTAGTTCTTAAAGCAGAAGCAAAAGGCATAATTCAAGGCGAACAAAAGAGCACAGTGGCTGTTAAAATGGTGAAGAAAAATGCAGACGAATCGTACATAAGAGCGCTGGCATCGGAATTGAAAATTATGGTGCATTTGGGGAAACATATTAATGTTGTTAATTTGCTAGGAGCTTGTACGAAAAATGTAGCAAAAAGTAAGACAAAATTGAAAAATTCCAAGGGGTAAACCACCATCCCAGAATTGGTGCAAATAATTCCTCAAAGGGGAATTTTTCACGCATAATTCCTCAAAATTCCTGCGAATTCCTCCAAATAGCCCATCACAAATTCCCCCAAATACCCTACTACGAACTTCTCTAAATACCCCACAAATTCCTCTAAAAAGAAGGGAAAGTTTTGAAAATTTTTGCATGTAAAGAGGAAGGTGAGAAGCTCATTTTCCCAAAGTTTCAAATTTTTCCAGTGGAAAATAACAACATGAGGAATTTTGGAAATTAACCTACAATAACTGAATTAATTGAAAACACAGTTTCACACATTCCAAAGTTTTCCTTAGTTGAAAATACAGTCTCACACATTTCAAAGTTTTCCTGGAAAACTGGTGAAGGGAGAAATTTGGAACTTTTTGCATGTAAAGAGGAAGGTGACAAGCTCATTTTCCTAAAATTTCAAATTTTTCGAGTAGAAAATTACAACATGAGGAATCTTGGAAATCATAACCTACAATAACTGAATTAATTGTAAATACAGTATCACATATTTCAAAGTTTTTGTGGAAAACTAGTAAAGGAAAAATTTTGAAACTTTTTGCATGTAAAGAAGAAGGTGAAAAGCTCATTTTCCCAAAATTTAAAAAAAAATACAAGTGGTAAATAACAACATGAGGAATATTGGAAATCAACCTACAATAACTGAATTGATTGAAAACACAATTTCACATATTCCAAAGTTTTCCTGGAAAACTACTGAAGGGAAAATTTTGAAACTTTATGCATGTAAAGAGAAAGGTGAGAAGCGCATTTTCTCAAAATTTCAAATTATTCCAGTAGAAAACAGCAACATGAAAAATGTTGGAAATCAACCTACAAAAACTGAATTAGTTGAAAATACAGTTTCACACATTTCAAAGTTTTCCTGGAAAACTGGTGAAGGGAGAAATTTGGAACTTTTTGCATGTAAAGAGGAAGGTGAGAAGCTCATTTTCCTGAAATTTCAAATTTTTCGAATAGAAAATTACAACATGAGGATTCTTGGAAATCAACCTACAATAGTAACTGAATTAATTGAAAATACAGTCTCATATATTTCAAAGCTTTCCTGGAAAACTAGTAAAGGAAAAATTATGAAACCTCTTGCATGTAAATAAGAAGGTGAGACGGTTATTTTCCCAAAATTTCAAATTTTTCCAGTGAAAAATAACAACATGAGGAATATTGGAAATCAACCTACAATAACTGAACTAATTGAAAATACAGTCTCACACATTTCAAAGTTTTCCTGAAAACTAGTAAAGGGAAAATTTTGAGACTTTTCGCATATAAAGAGGAAGGTGAGAAGTTCATTTTCCTAAAATTTCAAATTTTTCCAGTGGAAAACAGCAACATGAAAAATGTTGGAAATCAACCTACAAAAACTAAATTAATTGAAAATACAGTCTCACACATTTCAAAGTTTTCCTCGAAAACAAGTAAAAGAAAAATTTTGAAACTTTTTGCATGTAAAGAAGAAGGTGAGAAGCTCATTTTCCCAAAATTTTAAATTTTTCCAGTGGAAAACAGCAACATGAAAAATATTGAAAATCAACCTACAAAAACTAAATTAATTGAAAATACAGTCTCACACATTTCAAAGTTTTCCTGGAAAATTAGTGAAAGGAAACTTTTTGCATGTAAAGGGGAAGGTGAGAAGTTCATTTTCCTAAAATTTCAAATTTTTCCAGTGGAAAATAACAACATGAAAAATCTTGGAAATCAACCTACAATAACTGAAATAATTGAAAATACAGTCTCACATATTTCAAAGTTTTTCTGGAAAACTGTTGAAGGGAAAATTTTGAAACTTTTTGTATGGAAAGAAGAAGGTGAGAAGCTCATTTTTCCAAAATTTCAAATTTTTCCAGTGGAAAAGAACAACATGAAAAATGTTGGAAATCAACCTACAAAAACTAAATTAATTGAAAATACAGTCTCACACATTTCAAAGTTTTCCTGGAAAACTAGTGAAGGGAAACTTTTTGCATGTAAAGAGGAAGGTGAGAAGTTCATTTTCCTAAAATTTCAAATTTTTCCAGTGGAAAGGAACAACATGAAAAATCTTGGAAATCAACTTACAATAACTGAATTAATTGAAAATACAGAACATATTTCAAAGTTTTCCTGGAAAACTATTGAAGTGAAAATTTTGAAACTTTTTGCATGTAAAGAGGAAGGTGAGAAGCTCATTTTCCCAAAATTTCAAAAATTTTCCAGTGGAAAACAGCAACATGAAAAATCTTGGAAATCAACCTGCACAAACTGAATTAGTTGAAAATACATTCTCACACATTTCAAAGTTTTCCTGGAAAAGTAGTGAAGGGAAAATTTTGAAACTTTTTGCATATAAAGAGGAAAGTGAGAAGCTCATTAGATTTTTTTTTAAATTTCCATTTATTACTATTTCTTATAAGTAATAAGAATGTGAACCTCAGTGACGTCATGACCCTACTCACAAATTTTCCCAAATTCCCTATAAATTCACCAAATTCTCATAGATTCCGATGACTTCCTTCAAATTCCCCACAAATTTCTCTAAATGCCCCACATTTTTGACAAAGAATTCCTAGGTGGATAATTCAATATCATTGACAACAAATTTCATGATAATTCTAAGGATAATTCAATCGGTATTATTTTCTAGGAGAACTCTTAGTCATAGTCGAATTTTGCCGTTACGGCAACCTACAAAACTACATCTACAAACACAGACCAAGCTACATTGACCAAGTCGATCCAGTCAGTGGAACCATAGACTACAACATTGGAGCCGAAATTTTAGACAGGACTTATTCAATTTCCAGCGACAACTGGTAAATCTCAAAATTCCCAACTTTATTTAACTAACAGCAGTTTATTTTAGTCCAGTTTCGATGCAAGACTACAGAGAAAGAAATCAAACAATGTCAACAGGTGATGAAAGTGTAATAATGAGCAACAACAGTTTCCAGCAGCCAGAATGGCGATTGAATTATAAAGGAGATTATCGTGGAGAAGTTAAGCCTATAAGCACCAGGGAGCTATTGACTTGGTCATTCCAGGTTGCTAGAGGCATGGAATATTTAGCGTCCAGGAAAGTGCTCCATGGAGATTTGGCTGCCAGAAATATTTTGCTTGCAGATAATAATATTGTTAAAATTTGCGATTTTGGCCTTGCCAAAACAATGTACAACGATAATAATTATAAAAAGAAGAGTAATGTAAGTTAAATTTGAAGTTTTTTTTTTAAATTATTGCATTGATTTTCTTAGAATCCATTGCCCGTTAAATGGATGGCAATTGAATCCATAAGAGACCGTGTATTTTCTACACAATCCGATGTATGGTCCTTTGGAATTGTTTTATGGGAATTTTTCTCTTTGGCCAGGACGCCTTATCCAGGCATGGAAGCTGATGAGCGACTCTACCATAAACTGCTAGAAGGTTATAGAATGGAGCCTCCGGCTTACGCATCCAGAGACATTTACAAAATAATGCTGGAATGTTGGAATGTGAAAGCTTTAGCAAGGCCTTCATTTACCAAACTAGCTGAGAAAATTGGGGTGCTTTTGGAAGACAGTGTCCGAAAGCATTACGTTGACTTAAATGATCCTTATTTGAAAATGAATACGGAAAAACTAGAAGATGATGACTATTTGGCAATGCTGAGTCCTCCTTCGTTTGACGTACTGTCAACGCCAACAGGACTTTATGCAAATGGTGAAACTTCCAGACAACAATTGCCTGGATACACTTTTATGGGAGCTAATGGTATTTTTAGTCCACGTCCTTTAGGAGAGAATGTATTCGATTTTAAAGAAGGTAAATGGATGTTTGCAATGTTCTTGCAATGAAAATTTTTCTGTTGTAGAATCTCACGAACTCTATCCAATGTTACGAGATGAAGAACTGGATAACGACGGTTATTTGACTCCGATAACTCCGGTCAACAGTATTTCGAATCCCATGTACCATCAGATGTTGCCGGAAATCAAAACTAAAAATAAAATTACAATACCTATTGATAATAATTACATTTCAATGCCGCAATATAAAAATCTCATAAGGGATAATAAGGCAGAACATTTGGAAATGGAAAATGTGCATTATGTTAATGAGAGAATGGATGTTTAGTAGATAAGCTGTGATTTATTTGTATTTTAAAGAGTATTATTTTTTATGTATTATATGGTATTTTTGTCCGTAATCAGTTTTATGATTAGTAGTTTGCTCAAATTATAAACTTTTGTCCTACCAAAAAAACCAGAGAAAGTTTATAAACCATTGGTGACCTTACAAAGAACTGAACCCCACCATCAAACATTTTGTAGTCTTGTTTACTAAATACAATGTACATTTTTTGGAATAAGTTTGCTTGATTTTTAATATATTAAGTATATAAAATATATACTTTGTTTCTTTAAAATCTAAATTCCAAATCCCTGGAGCAGCTACTCTGAGTCAATATAATAATAATTATTCTTCAATGACTAATGAGTAATGCGGTACCACTACTATGTCACGATACCCATGCATTTATTCGCCTTGACGTGGTCTTTTAGTCGTACTTTTACCGTGGTCGCGTTCAGGTTAGTTCCGTAGTCGCAAGGTCGTCCAGTAGTGATTCAAAGTAGCTCAAGAATATGTGCGCGTGAGGTCGAGGTACCATGAAACTACCATCGGTGCTGTTTTTTGGGTTTTTATTACGTTTCAGTACTGCAGGTGAGTAATTTTTTATAGGTTGGAAAGGAATCAGCATAAAATAAAATTCGCGGGAATTTTGTTGCAAAATCAATAATAAACTCGTTAAATTGTCCGGTAACGTCATCGATTTGTTTACCTAATGTTTAATAATATGTAAATAGACTGATGATGAATTTTCCTCTGCATCATTTTAATTATTAAAATATTTGTGAAAGTTGATTCTACTTCAAGTTAATTTAGGTACATTAAGATTCTAGTCAGTACTATCAGCCAAATAATACATACTTTTCTTCTATCATATTGAACATGTCTTGCCTTTTAAAAATACAACAAGGAATTTACTGCATCATCCTGCAGTAACTACCTGAAAATACCATTTTTTTATTATAGGTACCAAGGCCAGGAGAAAATGCGTTTTTAAAGATTATCAGTAAAAGTAAATCTACCTAGATCGATGTTATTTTATGTTGTTCTAACAAACTTTTAAGTTTTAATTTGAAAACTTCCAATTCGAATATTTAAAAGTAAGAAAGTTGGAAAGACGTAATTTGGTATACAAATGTTATACAGGTAGGGGGAACTGGAACCACCATAGTTTGGTTATAATGACCACTTGAGCCCCATGCACCCCAACCCCAATATTTAAGAGAGCACCAAGCACCACCCCTTTTTTGATACCTGAAGGTGAATACGTGACTCAAAAATATTTAATTTTAGATATCACAAAAGGGGTGGTACCAGTTCAATGGGTGCCATTGCATGCTCAAGAGATCAATCAACCCATAACCAAAATATGGTGGTTCTAGTTCCTCTTACTTACAAATTACGTTTTTCTAACTTTTTTACTTTCAGAGATAATCGCATTGAAAATTTTCAAATTGACACCCTGTATAAAGTATACATATGCACCGGGTGATTTTATATATTTTGTACCCACACCTATCTCACCTATTTGAAAAGATATCCAGAAATGTCAAGAGTGAAAGTTGTAGGTAATATTAGAGGCTTTGCAATGAAGTTAGTTACAAGTAAGTATACAGAATGTGTCACAAAAGTGTGGGAAAGCAAAGTTAAACTTTTTTAAATGCAACACCCCGTATATTATTGACCCATTGGATTAGCCTTTAAAACCGATTTCAGATGTTTTTTAGGTTTATTTCTAATCGACGAGGAAACCACCTACCTAATTTTGTATGTATACCAAAAATTCTAAAATTCTGAAAAATGCTAATTTTCATGTTATTATTGTCCCAAAAAATTCTAAAAATTCTAAAAAATTCTAAGAAATTCTAAAAAATCCCAACAAATTGGGCAGGCTCTTGAGCATGCGCAATAGATAAAAATTCCAAATTATTTCTTATTCTAGTCCAATTCTAAAAAACACTAATAATTCTAGAAATTGCTAAAAAATACTAAAAAATGCAAAAAAATACTGATAATTCTGAAAAATTCTAAAAATTCTATCAGTTTCAACTGTCAAATGCAAAAGTTTTAAGAAATTATAATTTTTTTTTAACTAAGTTAGTTTTAGGCATACAGGGTGCGTCAAAAAAGTGCAGCAGTGTGAAGTTATATTTTTTTAAATGGAACACCCTGTATATTGTGCGCTTATTTTTTAGTCCCCTTACCAGTTCCAGCACCATACCAGATAATATGATTTCAACGATATACGGTTTGATATGTTTATCTCTCTGTTTATCTTCAATAGTTATAGGAAAAAACGCGAAAATCTCTTGCTAGTTCTCTCATGTTATTTTTTCAAAAATAATAATAATAACTGGATTTATTATACCTAATATAATATTTCACCTTGTATATTAATGAATAAAATTTGAACAATAAACTGTTCATAAAAAAAATTCTCTAAAGCTTAAATGGTATAATGTTTCTTTTTTCAATATGAAACCTTGAAAGGAGTTTTCATGTTTTTCCTTATAAATATCGAAGATAGACATCAAATCGTATATCGTTGAAATCATGTTAAAAGGGACTAACAAATAAGCGCACAATATGTAGGGTATTCCATTTAAAAAAATATAACTTCACACTGCTACACTTTTTTGACACACCCTGTATGTCTAAAACTGACTTAGTTAAAAACTTTCGACAATTTATTGAAACTTTTGTATTTGACACTTTTGTCAAAAATGTCAAATGAAAAAGTTAGAAGGGGGTGACATTTATAATAGATCACCCTGTACACCAAAATTCTAAGAAGGTTTCCCGCTCGGGGGAACCCACCATCCTAATTTTTTACACCAAAAATAATTCTAAAATTCTGAAAAATGCTAATTCTCGAAAAATTCTAAAAATTCAAAAAAATGTCCAAAAATCCCAACAGATTGCGCAGTGCGCAGGTTCTTGAGCATGCGTAATAGGTGAAAATTCTAAATTATTTCTAAAAAATTCTAATTCAATTCTAAATAATACTAAAAAATTCTAAATAATTCTAGAAAATACTAGAAAATACTAAAAAATGCTAAATAATACTGATAATTCTAAAAAATTCTAAAAAATTCTATCAGTTTGTACACCAAAATTCTAAGGTGGTTTCCCCCTCGTTTCTAATAGTCCGGGAGAAAATAAGAAAAAAAAGGGTGGAATAATTGCATTTTTATTGAAAAAGGTGAAGTATAGAAACCACCAGCAAAATATAAAGGTAATCATTCAAGTAAAAAATCAATATTATTTCTTCAAAATAGGATATTCAGCGGCTGAACTATGAGGAATAACCTAAAAAACCTAGTATACCTATTTAGAATCAGGTTTGAAAGGCTAATTCAATGGGTCAATAATATATAGGGTGTTCCATCTGGAAAAGTAAAACTTTGCTTCGCCACATTTTTGTCACACACCCTGTATACTTTTAACTAATTTCATTGCAAAGTTTCTGATATTACCAGCGTTGCCAGAAGAAATAAAAAAGTTTCGTGAGAATCCAGAAAGAAACATCGTGAGAAATCGTGAGACCAAAAATGGCCTAATAATATTATAGAAAATGAAGCACAACAATGTTCTTTTTTAGATTTCTGATAAAGTAAACATTATTTTATACTCATAAGAAATGAACATTTCATTATTAAATCTTGTATCCTTGTTTTTCCGTTCTTAAGCAGGTGTTTTTCTGGAAGCTTAACCTCGTTTTTATTATCCGTAGGATTGCACATCCTGATAAGGCGTATGTTCGCCAATTCTCGAGTTAGCAGCTGGTCTGCGAGTGACGTCACCACGATCAGACGATCATAGTGGTGGTGGTGATGACATATGGATTGCTTGCGACTCAAGCTGTGCTTGTGAGTTAATTTTTTCGTCGATTTGCAATTTAGAAAAGGTAATTTTAACGTTTGGGAATTCGTTTTTTTGACCTAATTGTATAGTAGATTTTTATTTCGATTATTTTCAATTAAACATTACATTTAACTACTGATTTGTATTACTACAAAGAGAATTCGTGAAAATTGCTACCTCATTCGTGAGATCGTGAAATTCGGACCAAAATCGTGTAATCTTACGAATAATCGTGAGATCTGGCAACACTGGATATTACTTACAACTTTCACATTTGACATTTCTGGGTATCTCTTCAAACAGGGTGCAAAATATAGACAAACACCCGGTACTTATAGCAATATTTGTTTGATTTCAGACCAAAATACCTTTTGTCTTTCTAATACTGACTCCGTTTTATAGCTCTTCGTTGCTATTAGACTAGAATCTTGACTATATATTGTGCAAACAATTCGCTTCCTTGGTTTCAAATTTGCTGGACTATTATTGTATTGTTTTCCCAAATTTTCTAGTCATTAGGCAATGTTGTAAGATTGTGCACCATTTTCCCAACTTGAGAGATATGGTACACCTCGGGGTACCCTTTATTAATATACCCAACAGGTAGAGGTAAATGAAATTGAACTAGGTAGATATTTATATACCACGATTATATTAACAGCTGTCAAGGATAGGGTACCTATGTGAGGAGATGTTTACCTATAGTATCTACATACCTACCTAATCATTACAATTTACGAATTAATAGAATATTAAATATTTCCGTTTCTTGGAGAATACTGAATTGAATAAAACTTTACACCCAGAACTTATTTTAAAATTACGTTTTAATCAGTGGCGGCTCGTGAATATTTCAAGTGAGGAGGCTAATTACAGTATCGGATTTCATGAAATTCCTCGGAATTCCATTATGATTTCAATTTCAAAATTCCATATTTTTTTTTTAAATTCGTCAAAATTTTACCACTGAAATATCCTGGAATTCCACAAAATTTTCATAAAATTCTTTGGAATTTCATTGACATTTCATGTAATTTCTTAAAAATTTTTCGGAATTCACTAAAATTTTATGAGAATATCCACGTTTATAACCGAAAATTTCTCGAAAGTCCAATGAAACTTCAAGGAATTTTCAAAATTTAATTTATTTTCATAAGAATTTTTCGGAATTTCACTGAAATTCTCTTTTAATAGCCAGGAATTTCTAGGAATATTAATGAAGTTTCAAGTAATTTCTTAAAAATTCATAGAAATATATTGAAATTTCATGTCATTACGTGGGAATTTTTCGGAATATCACCGAAATTCCATGTTTTTAGCTGGAAATTGCTCGGCATTACTAAAATTCAGTAAAAACTGAAATTTCATGTTGGGAATTTCGGTGTAATTTCATGTAATTGTTTAAAATTCCTCCATGTAATTCATTTAGGATTTTGTGGAATTCGATCGGAATTTCACTGAAATTTCAAGTAATTCGAGAGGAATTAAAATTTAATGTGAATTTCATGGAAACTCCGCAAAAATTTCACATCTAATTCCTTTTTCAGAATAACATAATTATTCTACCGAAATTCCACTAAATTATGGAATTCTGATATTTTAATAGATTTTTTGGGAATTTTAAAGGAAATATTTTTCAGAAATGTCAATGATTGGGTTTAAAATAACCTATAAATCGAGATTTGATAAAAACATATGGCAACGCTGCTCATGATACAACAAACGTCAAA